AATTCGCTATCAAGTCAGTGCCTGGGAAGAGAACGGAAAGCCTGACTCACTCACACGGAGATCACAAGACTTACCGAAAGATGAAAATGACGACCGCATCCAGTACCAACAACAGTCGCTGCTTAAGCCTTCCAACATAGACTCCTCTGTACAAGAACAACTAAGGCTTGACCCCGAGCTCTCAGAGCTCTTTGCAAATCTCTCCTGGGAACAAGAGATTGCACTATGTCCCGCCATTCTTGACGAAATTCAGCCAGAACCAATCAACCACAAAATCACAAGACTTCTAGACAAGGGCTATGAGGAGGACGAATGGTGGATGAAAATCAGGGACGAGATGCTCAAACCCCATGGAATTCCCCACTCAAAGGAAGTTTCTCTATCGGAATGCATGATAAACGAAGGCCGATTATATTTCCGAGAGAGGCTATACGTACCCGCAGGCGAACTACGGACCCTTCTCACTCAACTCGCCCATGACAGCGTCGAATCAGGCCACCCGGGAAAAACAAGCTATACGAACTCATTTCACGCTCTTATTGGTGGCCAAAGCTTAGCGCCGATACGAAACAATTCACACGCAATTGCCACGGATGTCTGGGAACAAAACCTCCCAGTTGCGGTACCAGGGGACATTGAAACCGCTCCCAATTCCCTTGCAAAGATGGAGAGACTTATCCGTTGACTTCATTGGCCCAATTCAGCGCACAGCTCGTGGATTCAACGCAATCATGGTGGTAGTCGATAGGCTGTCAAAGGACAGACATTTCACGCCCTGCAAGACCGACATGAAAACACATGACTTGGCAACACTCTTCGTACGAGATGTCTGGAAACTCCATGGACTACCGGATTCAATCGTGTCTGATAGAGGACCACTGTTTGTCTCGGAATTCTGGAAAGCGGTTTGCCACCGTCTACGGATCAATATCAGCCTTTCTACAGCATATCACCCCGAAACTGACGGCCAGACGGAAAACGCTAACTCATTTCTCGAACAATACCTTCGCCAATATGTTAGCTTTGCTCAGGACGACTGGGACGAGTGGCTCCCATTGGCCGAATTCGCAGCCCGTAACGTTGTCAGCGATTCAACGGGAATGTCCCCATTTTTGCGAACACAGGCTATCACCCCCGAATGAGCTTTGGTCCCCCTCGCGCAATACCACTCGCGGCATCCAAAGACCTGGCAGAACGCTGCAACGAGGGGAACGAATTTGTCGCCAAGATGCAAGAAATCACTGATCTACTTCGGACAAACCTGCTCTCAGCTCAAGCCTCACAAGAGCAGTTCGCCAACGCAAATAGATCACCGGCGCCAGCTTACCGAGTTGGAGACATGGTGCTACTTAGCACACGCAACATTGATTCAGCCCGACCCATCCCAAAACTAGATCACAAGTTCATTGGCCTTTTCGAATCGAGCGCGTGCTCAACCTCACTCCTACCAACTGAAGTTGCCACATGAACTAGACTCAATTCACAATTCATTTCACACCAACCTCCTGCGACCGTCACCAAACGACCCGCTCCCGGCCAATACAACACACCGCCCCACCAATAACGCTAGATGCAAAGGGAGAAACTCTGGGCGATTGAAGAAATACTGGACTCGAAACGCACAAAACAGAAAGGCTTCCAGTACCATATACTATGGAGGCTTCGACCTTGAGCAGGCAACATGGGAACCACTACACAACGTCGTCAACGCTCACATCGCCATCAAAGAGTTCGAGAAGCACAACAAAAACAAACCCAGACCGACGAAACAAGAAGCGCAAAATGCTCGCCTACAGGCTCAGCAAGACGTGGAAGAATCAGAAGCGATGGAGTAAAGGAGGCCCATGTGTGAGGGAACGATCATGTGACTTTCATACTTTATGAAAGGTCCCGCTTTTATTCATGTAAATAGCGAAAGTCAGAGTCTTCCTTAGGAACCTCTTTCTCTCTTGTAGACAATCACTTTACCCAAGTCGCACTCGACCTTGTTCGTGCACTTGTACCGTCACAGCACTAGTTGTTGGCTTCAAGAAGAAGTATATGGTGTATTGCTGTCATGAAAAAAAATGTGGCCGCCTGTGATTGCAGATGACAGTGTCAAGGGACACTATAAGCTACGCGACAATTGCAAGCTCTTAAAGAGCCGGGAAAGATCATGGTAACTGCAAGACAACGAATTGGACCAAACGTGGTTTTGACATTTTGCCCCTTTGTTTGCAACAGCGTAAGTTGTCTGGGGGAAATTGCAACAATGGCTCTAGCTACTTGCAGGTTATCGCCACCGGTTCTGCAAGGATGCTCTCTTAAGACTCAGCCACCAAATAATAAGCACAAGCAATGTCGACGGGATTGCAACCACCCAGTATATCCAAAACTTCTTGGAAATGTTCCAGCTCTCTTCTGCGAAGGAGAAGAATGTGGTGCTGAATAGGGCCTGATCCAACGGTTAGCGCTGCAAAGACGTCGAATCGAATAGTGTCGCGCTCTCGGAGCACGCACCGAGATGAACGTGGCCGGCAGAAACGTCACTGTAAGTAGAGCTATTGACTTCATCACCGTATTGTCTTGGACCGCCATGATGTTGTATGCCTGCAATGCCTTGTCAGCCATCTCACCCACTACAAAGAGCCATGATTATCAAAATACCAGAGTAATTTCTGAGTTGATTCTCTCTTGTATCGATAGAGAACGTCGTTGGAGGCTCTTGATCATCTGTAGCTGAAAGTTCAGGTACTCATGTGCTTGTTCCTTGTACGTCTTGTTGAGCGATGGAAGCACACGGTAGGCAATCTCCTGTCGATGCAACAAGCTCCGCATAGTCTCAACTGTCGCTGCATGAACTTCCACGAGGTGGCCAGCATGTCTAGAGATGTCGTGCATTGCCACGAAGTCAGTTGTGTGTGTGCCTCTGTTCTACATGGACGTTAGCCACCCGTCGTAGCATGCCAATGACAGAGCACGTCAGTCACCCTTTCAATTTCCCGTACTTTATCGCGCACTCGCCAGGCGCTGTCGTCATAAAGCTTGATAACTTGGTCGAAGAGCGGGATGACCATAGAAAAGGGGTCCCTCAGCTCATGCAAAGGTGACTCTCTGAGGGCTCTCTCAAGTTGCCGGCGGAGAACTGGTGGTGTGCCGACGCACAAGATCCTGCAGATATTTGGATGGCACCACCTTGTGAAAAAGCCCATTTCGTGCCACCAATAGTCTTTGCCATCTGGTGCCTTATGTTCTTCGGGCTTCAGCACCACCTTAATCAAGCACCGAAACCAGATGCCTGGAAGGCAGAATCCAATGCAGTTTAGTCAGCGCAGCTGGCTTTAGGAGAACGCGAAGCGGAGACTGACTGAGGTCCACTAGTATGCCATTCGTGTCGAACGAACTCCTGCAACCGAAATATCCGTTTATATCGGTACAAAGCTGATTTGCAAGATAGGCGGGCACGTTGAAAGGGGCGAGTATCATCCTGCGGTCGCCTTCCGTGCACTTTTGCTTGTATAAGTCTCGGTCCTCTAAGAAGCTATAGAGGCTGTTTCAGCGGTCGCCTTGGTCCTAAAGGGTAATTATTTGCCTGACATGTAGCATGCTTTCGGTAGAACCGGACTCTACTTCACTGTCAGCAATGCAGCGATGCCATAGTTGATAGCGGGGCTGACCTCAAGAAGATTACCCTCGTCTGCTCTCCATGATCCCTCGTCTGTCAGGAATATATCAGAGGCGTGATTAATCCAGGTCGGACGGCTTTTAGCTACCATATGTCAAAATCGTTGCCACGGCCGGTCTAACACCCATGGCTGCCTCCTTGAGACTTGGATTCGCAGCTGCTGCGTTATTCCGCCAGCCCGCGGTTTGCCCGGAGACTGCAGAGGACGATTAGAAAGACATATTTGTTGATAGCAACTTGGAATTGCAGCGCCAAATTTTCAGTGTGGCTTTGAAGCATTGCTTACTCCTCTTTCGACGCTGATAGCGTCAGAGACAGGTTTTGATGGCGCCAGTGTGCTTGAGATGGAAACCAAAGGGCCGTCAAAGCTGCCCGCCCAGATACATGCATGGGCGATGACCCCAGCCGTTACTGCAGAGACCAGATGCAGCTTATTAGGTCCGGGGGCAAGAGGTAGCGCCAAGTACTTAGGCGGGGGTAATTACGGAGGATACGCCGAGTTGACCTTAAAACAACCAATGTGGCTGCTGGATGGTTATGAGCTGTACAAAGTATACATGGTCTTCATGGACTGATGGACAGGGGCCCACCTCAAGCGAGCGAGTGACTTAACAGGTAACAAAGACGCAAACTAATAAGTCGTACACTCCGAGCCTGGGTCTGGGGAGTTCCGTACCCAAGCACCTGCAACTTCCTGGTTATCAGGTTCCACCTTCTTCGTTGATTCTGTTGCCATTCATCGCAATACACACTTGGGGCAATGATGGTCGTATCGGCCATCTTCACGGCAATAGTACGCGTAGCCTCAGCCGACGCGGTCATTATATCGACATTATGTCACTCGCCGCTTACTCTAAAAGCAGATCCCGGCAAAAAGGCGTGCCATAGAATTCTTTTGACATTATTCAGCCTTCGAGCGAGGCTGTTCAGGGGGCAGATTTCAGCTCGTCTTCCCCGCCTTTGCACCTCCAGTCTCCTCTAAAAGGACTCGTCGACAAGTTCACTTCCTGGAACATTGAAGGCAAGCAATCCCGGATGCTCAGCTCACCTCCTTTTTCTCAGCTTTCTCAGCACCCCCACTTGAATCTTTCACGCTCGACGGGTGCTACATAGGGCGCCAAGAGCAGTATCGAATCGTTGGCGCCCGAACTTCATATACCCCGTCTTGCCTCGTCCTCCGTGCCGACTCTACACACACTACGTCCCGGCCGACGTATGATTCTCGATGAATCAGTTGAACTGCGAGCTCTATACTGTCGCATGGATAGCCCCGCTGGAAATTGAGGCGCGGGCGGCCTTACTGATGTTGGATAATCGACACCGAGGCAGATTCCCTATGGCCCGCGGCGATGACTATGTCTTCCAGGCTGGCGATGCATGTGGACATAATACCATCATTGCAACCATCCCTCCTGGTCAAGAATATGGCACCGGGTCCGCCGCCGCCCTTGCAAGCCAGGTCAAGAAGTTTTTCCCGAGACTTTGGTTCGGCTTGTTGGTCGGCGTTGCGGCCGGTCTCCCAAACCTCTCGCGAAGCCCGCCGCGGGATATTCGGCTGGGAGATGTTCTGGTCGGGTTGTCCGAGGGCGGTAGTGCTGGTCTTGTAGCCTACGATTTGGGCAAAGAAACGGAGACTGTTGGGTTTCAGCTTCTTCGCTCAGGTTATGTGTTGGCCATCACGGAGACTGCCGTTAGGTCGGCCATCGGCAGCATCAAGCTGAACGCACCAAACGACGCGGACGTATTCTCGCAGTACTACAAGAGCATCGCATATGAGGAACACCCCCACGGTACATTCGCTGACCCCGGACAGTCGAAAGATGTGTTGCACCAAGTTGACGAGGATGGCAATGAGCGTGTGGTCGAACGGCAACAAAGGCCGGATTTCAAAAGAACTCGAGTTTGGTACGGTTCTATAGGCTCGGGAGAAAAGCTAATGAAGAACGCCCGGAAGCGAAATGAACTACGAGACAGGTACGACCTCATTGGCCTCGAGATGGAAGCCGCCGGGACCATGAACCGCATTCCTGTGGGCGTTATTCGAGGGGTCTGCGACTATGGAGATGCACACAAGAACAAAGAATGGCAACCATATGCTGCTGCAATGGCTGCCGCTTATGCCAAGGCAGTCCTGGCTGAACTTGTGCCTAAAAATGGTTAGTAGGTAAATGAACGAATGGCTCCGTCTTTTCCAGAGTTAAATTGAGACAACAGTATTGCCGGAGCCGAGAACCATGAACGTCAGACCTCAGGGCAGACTGGACGAGGACGATGAACCCCTTGCTTCAGTCACAATTAATGGGCGCAAAAAGCGCCGTATTGAACAGCGCTCCGAGGCTAGCGGTGCGAGAGCCTTGCCTTTCGACAACGAGAGACCCATCAGTCAAGAGGTGAACAGTAGCACGAGAGATTTCGACAATGTCATCCAAGACACGAGCGAGCCATTGTATGGAGCCGGCCACTTCATCGAAGCCCCCGTAAAACAGTCAATCATAGACCAGCTCTACTTTACCAAAATCGACGAGCGCCTGACAAGAATAGCAGCCGCCCAGATAAAGACTTGCCGCTGGTTCCTCACCAAGCCCGAATACAAGTCTTGGCACGACACGGCAGAACATCCCGATCACGGCGGCTTCCTGTGGATCAAGGGCAACCCAGGTACCGGAAAGTCGACACTAATGAAACTCCTCTTCGAAGACACCAAATCCAACGAAAGGGGAGATCCCTCGCGAATCACCCTGTCGTTCTTTTTCCTCGGGCGAGGCACCGTCGAGGAGAAGTCGGTGACCGGTCTATACCGCTCTCTTCTCCACCAGCTCTTTCAGAAGGAGCCGAGGTTGCGAGACAGTTTAGACTGGATGACGGCCGATGGAGCAAAGGTGGTTCAGCGGAATGGATGGCACGAGGAAACGTTGAAGCAGACATTGGCGCATGCTGTTCAGAGTCTTGGGAGGCGGTCATTGACGATATTCATTGACGCGCTAGACGAGTGCGACCAGGAGCAGGTTTCGGGTATGGTTTGCTGCTTTGAGGAGCTATGCGATCGCGCCAGAAAAGCTCACGTTCGATTGCATATTTGCTTCTCCAGCCGGCATTATCCGACAGTCGTCATCCAGACGGGCATCGAGGTCACCCTAGAAGACGAACCAGGGCATACGGAAGACATAAAACGCTATATCAAAGTGAGACTCCGTCTGCCTAACCCCAGGTCGAGTCAAGCCGAGTCGCTGCTGTCTAAAGTTCTCGAAAAGTCCTCGGGTATATTTCTCTGGGTCGTTTTGGTACTCGATATCCTCAACTCCGAGTACGCAAAAGGGTCGGGCCGCATCAAGAAGATGCGTGATCGTCTCGAGGAAATCCCGCCGAAGCTGAACGACTTATTTGAGATGATCCTAACTCGAGATGAGGAGAACCTCTTACGACTTCAACTTTGTCTTAAATGGATCCTCTTCGCAATGCGTCCTCTAAAACCGCAGGAGCTCTATTTTGCCATCGAACTTGGTTGCGACAAAGAATGCACTGGCTATTGGGACGAGGAAGACGTCGATCTGGATACGATCAAGGCTTTTGTGCGAATGTGTTCCAAAGGCTTGGCGGAAGTCACGCGCAGTAAGGACTCGGAAGTACAGTTCATCCACGAGTCTGTTCGAGACTTCTTGCTGGGTAGACTCGAGAGCCAGTGGTCTGGAGTCTCCGGCAACTTTGCAGGCCATAGTCACCAGCTTTTGAGGGACTGCTGCTTGACTCAGTTAAACTATTTGACTAGTGGTGTCGATGATGAGGTAAGGCCAAAACCAGGGGCTTCCAAGGCACCAGTGTTGCCATGCTCCATAGGGCCTCGGTTCCCCTTGGTCCAGTATTCAGTTTCTCATGTTCTTGACCACGGCAACAGCGCACAGAAGAATGGGATGGACCAGGCAGAGTTTGTTACCAATTTCCCTCTTCGAACGTGGGTACCTCTTCACAACGCTCTCGAAAGGTACAGAATTAGACGGTATTCGAATTCAGTCACGCTCCTTTATATTCTCGCGGTGAAGAACCTGGGGGAACTAATTCGAATACACCCTCAAAGGCTGTTTTTTTTTGCGAGGAATTTGAGCGATATTTCACTCCTTATTTTGCAGCGCTGGCTACTGCTAATCTGGAAGCGATATGCGCGTTTATGAAAGCCCTGGCGGAGACCGAGCCCTCCACGTCTCCAATCCATGGCCTATCTGAAAAATTTCGCCATGATGCAAAAATTCCGATTCTAATTGGTCGCCACTCCACTTTCTCACGAACAAAGAATGCCCTTTGGCATCTTTGGGATCTCGCAAAGGACCATGACGTAATCGCCTTTCCTGCTCTGCTTGCGTTGGAAAAGCTCGGCATTCGCCAAACGGGCCTGTTCTCGCTATCGAGATCCGCCGAAAGAGGACTCTGGGCTGTCGTCAAACTGCTTCTCGAAAAGGGTGCTGATATCGAGGGGACATCCGATTCGCTCTATACGCCGCTAGCTTCCGCGGCTTTGGGAGGGCATGTGGCCGTTGTCGAGCTGCTTCTCGAAAAGGGTGCTGATATCGAGGGGACATCCGATTCGCTCTACACGCCGCTAGCTTCCGCGGCTTTAGGAGGACATATGGCCGTTGTTAAGCTGCTTCTCGATAAGGGGGCTGATATTGAGGGAGCAGGCAGAACGAAGCAGACGCCCCTATCATACGCTGCCGAATATGGGCATATTGCCGTTATCGAGTTTCTTCTCGCTAGGGGCGCTAATATAGAGGCAAGGAATCAGTCGGGTCAGACGCCCCTATCTCGCGCTGCGAGAAAGAGGCATACAGCCGTTATTAAGCTTCTTCTTACTAGGGGCGCTAATAGAAAGTTACGGAACTAGTCGGGTTAGACGCCCCTATCTTAGGCTACTAAATAAGGGTATATAGCTATAATTAAGCTTCTTCTTATTAAGGGCGCTAATATAGAGTTAATAGATATATAAGGCTAAATACTATTAGTTTATACTACTAACTAAGGGTAGGAAGCTATTATTAAGCTACTTCTTAGTAAGGGGGCTAGTATTAAAAGCGTATATAAAATAAAGTAAACTATTATTATTATTATTATTATTAAGATTATACTAGTAACCTATCTAGAGGTATCTAGAACTTCGGCGTTAAATAGGAGGGAAAACTAAAGTGCCTAGAGGAAAACCCTCCCCTCTTTTATAGCTAGTCCGCCCTTATACTAGGTCGCGGTTATAATATATAGGAATCTTACGCCGGCTATCTTAGGTATCGTTATAGTTAGTCGGAATCGCATTAGCCCTGCTATAAAGTAACCTTAGAAAGTAACTCCTTTACGTATATAGGGTATATAGCGTTAATCGGTAGTACGAGCGTTTTTAGTTAATAGTTAATAGTTAATTATATAATTATCTTTAACCTTATCCTATAACGATATCTTCCTAGGCTCTACCTTATTTTTCCGCTATAAGGCTTAGCGGGCTATTTTTTATTAATGCCGGCTTTTAGCCGGGCCGGTAGTTAGGTTATCGCACCGGCTTCGCGCCGTACTTATCGAGTTACTAGTATCGGCCCTAGGTTTTTATTTTCCCGGTTAGGGGGCCTAGACCGGGGTTAGGGGGAGGTCCTAACGAATTCGTCGCTAGGTCTAGGTAGGCGAGGTCCGGGCCGGCCTACTTATAGCGGGGCTAGACTGCTAGTATATTTATAAGCGCTTCTAGAAGCGCTAATTAGCTAATTAATAAGTAGGTTAGCGAAGTCTACTAGTCTAACTAAAAATTAATTATACCCTTAGCCGGATTTAAACTAACTTTAGTATTATAGCTAGTAGGCTTCCTAGGTATATAACTACTATACTATAAGGGAAAAGTAAACTATTATACGGTAAGTAAAGGGATATATTATAGGTGCCTTTTATTATATAATAATAAGCTATAAAAGATATAACTATATATTACGCTTATTACTACTATATATTTATATATATATATATAGCTTAACCTACCTTATATTCTTATTAGCTAAGGTCTAGGCTAATACCTAGACCTATAATAAGGGTAAATACCCTTATAAAAGGTCCTTGCCTTACCCTCTATAAGCGGTCCCTTATAACGTTAATCTTATACCTTAGTACGTAGCTAGGAGGTAAATAACTCTTTAATATACTTCTATTACTCCTTCCTCTTAATAATACTATTACTATTATTAATAGTAGTAGTAACTATAACTATAAGCCTCCTAGCGCTTAGCTATATACTACCGCTTATATATAAGCTAACTTATAATCCTACTAGCTATTTATATAATTTAATATATCCTTCTTAGCCTTATCTTACTTTTCTACTAAGATTAATAACTTTATTAACCGCGCCCTTACCTCGCTTACTATTATAGCCTAATAAGGGTCTTAAAGACTAAATAAGGGTCTTATATAAAAGCGCTACTAAGAGGTATAGGCTAATAAAGCACTTAGTTATATAGTACTAATATATTAGTAGGGTACTTTAATAGGTAAGATCGCACCCCTATAAATATTAGCCTATTAAAGGGATAAGACCCCTAGTACTCCCTATCTAACTTACTTCTAAGTATACTTAAAGGCTTTATAAAGACCTTAATTATCTAATAAGGTATCTTCCTTAATTATAGTTAATTCGAATTTTATTTTCCCCCCTTTAAAGTAAAGGCCGCTAGTTATGCGACTCTAGTAAAGATAAAGAAGTATAAAGTAAAGAAATCTCTAAGACTTATATTAATAACCTAAGACCCTTAGAGCTATATATAAGACCGATAATTAGATAATTATATAGTTAATTACTTTACTAATCCTTAGCCGTATACTACGCGTGCTTTAAGTATATACCCTTATCCCTATTAAAACTAGTCTCTAAGGCATAAACTTATTATTCCGTTTTATTTATATAGCGATAAGTAGCTTTACGAAGCTAAGAATACTTAGAGGATAACGGTACTATTTAGAAAAAATAAAATCTAGGGATTTAATAATTAAAGTAGTAACTACTTTAATAGCTAGAGTTAAGGACCTAATAAGGCGATAGACTTACTAGGAAATAAATAATTAAATAATACCTTTTACTAGTAGTAAAGGAAAAGTAATAAGCTAATACTAAAAAACCCTAAACTCTTATTATTAGCCCTATAACCCTTAATATTAGTAACTTAGTTAAGAAACTACGATCCTTATATAATACTTTAAAAGATATAAATAATAACGATAGCGTAATCTAGACTATTCTAGAACCCTACTAAGACCTCTTACTTATATATATATTAATAATATTAATATAGGTACTAATAAGGGATACCTTAATAACCTTAACCTTAGCTCTCCTCTATATAGTAGCTTATAAAGAACGCCTACCTCCTACTAATAGATAAGAAAGTAAGTAATAAGATAGTTATAATAAGATATCTTTTAACTTTAAAAACTCTAACTTTAAATTTTATAACCTTATAATCTATAGGTTTACTATATTTAGAAACGCTAGCTATTAAAAGGGATTATTTAATCTTACTACTAGTAATATAAAAGAAATTAAGGTAGATATTAATAAGATTATTAATAGACTTAAAGATATACTTACTAAAAGCTAAGATAACTTTATAAAAAGACTTTACTAACTATAACTCTTACTTATTAGTAAATTTAATAGTAAAAACGTAACTAAATTCCTTAAAAAGTTTAAACGGGAGATATATATTAACTATATTTATAATAAGGATAAAATAAACTAGCTTAAAGTTTATATCTCCTTTATATAAGCCCTTACTATTAAAATTCTTATAGATAGACTTACCTAAGAAAAAGAACTAAAAAAGAGACTCCTTTAATATTACTATATATATAATATTAAATAACTAGAAACTATTAACGACCGCTTAGACTATTATAATACTAAAAAGCCTAAGACTATTATAGAAGTTATAAAATAGCTTAGTCTCTACTTATACCTATAGTATAAGGTATAACCTAATAGCTAGGAAGAATCTATAGTCTAGTTATACTTTATCTACTATATAATACTAAAGGAACTTATTATTAATATTATAAAGAGAAATAAGAAGATATTTAAAGTTATCTTAAAACTCTTATATAAAAGCTTTATCTATATAATTAATAATTACTTAGTACCTTACTAAGACGTTAAGCGATAAGATATAGTATCTAAAGTCTATAATTAAAAACTTAAGAACTTAAAGAAAGACTAGCTTTTTAAGGAAATTAATAAAGTAATAAAGGAAGCTAAATCTAATAAAGGTAAAGAAAAACTTCCGAAAGAGTTAAAGAAAATAAATAAGAAACCTAGATAGCCTATAAAGGAGATCTTAGACTTAATAAAAGCCTTTAAAGATATAAAGATTAACCTTACTCGCTAGTAAGAGTAGATATTTACCTAGCTTAATAAGGAGTAAAGATATATTAGTAGTAAAGGCTACTCTTTAAGTTATAGATAAGGAGGGAGCGTAAATACTATTAGATTTTACTACCTATTTAATTAATATATATAGTTTTAGGTTAATACTTTTAATCGGCCTAAGAGATACTTTTATTATAGTAAAGAAAGATACTACCTTAATAAGTATAAAGTATACTCTTAGGACTATAAGATCGGATTTATAATATATAAAGTAGTAAATAAGACTCTTTACCTTAAAAGAAAGGATAATAAAAGCGTAATTCCCTTAGTACTTACTAATAGGTTTTCTTAA